TCAAACCTTGTTCAACAAAATAAATTACAAGCTAAGTTGCCCATGACTTGAGATATTAAAAATCGCAACTGAGATACACCACACAGCCATGGCAGATAATCAATGATTAATGTAGCACATGTGGTATGCCTAGACTGTTCTACTTCCAGTGAAGCTCCTTCACAAAGCAGTGTTAAGAAAATAGCTCTGGACCTCAGGTCATGAAGTCCTACTGGTGATCTCCAGTTCCGCCAACAGCTCTTTACAGGACCTTAGGCCTATTGCTTGATCTCTTTGACTCCGGATATCCCACCTTTAAAAGAAGGGGGTTACGTTCTATAAACAAAGGTCACCTTTAGTTCTAACATAATTATCTCGTGAAATGTAAAGCAAAACAGTTGCTGAATGTGATCAATTGTCAATCAGCAAGCTATATCTAAAGAGCTTTCTCAGCTGTCCTCATATCATCACTCTCAGAGTATAAATAAAAAGAAGCAATTACACTTTCTTATAGTGCAACTCAAATTAGATGATATAATTTGAATTCTCATGTTGAAAGCTTTCCATTTTATGTATGATACACAGCTCAGATTTTAGCAGCAATGTCTTTGGACATAATGAAAATCATTTAAAGAACAGCAGAAGGCTTGGCCTTGGCAAAATTACTTCCCTAATACCACCCAGAATGCCCATCTTACAGTTATTCTTAAGGATTAAAGCAATAGAAGAATGTTGTCTTTGCAATGCAAAAAGTGCTATTTGAAGGAGAAAAGAAAGGCTATAGTATCTTGGCTCCCATTACCTGTGAGTATCAGTAATACTCTGATATTATTCAGAAGCAGATCTAGGTTTCAAAGGGCCTGAAATATTATCCAACTATGGGACCTTCTTTTAAAAAATCGTACAAAAGTTTGTAGGAAAACCTGTAGATGGGAAGAAAAACCAAAATTAGTTCCTAGAGACTTGGAGTGCCAGGTCCCTTTCTTCTGAGATTTCTTTGAATAATTTGTGAGAATTATATAGAAGTATTTTCCAAATTCAGTCTAACTTCATCTGCTTTCTGTAGCACACTGACACTTAGTAACTGCTGGTACACACAAGGACCCATGCAAATAAGGGGCTTAGGTTAAATTAGCATTGTGTTAAATTAGGTGTTTATTGAATCATCATGTTAACAGGCAGAAAAGAACAAGAAACCACTATAGAATCAATTTGAAAACTGAGTGGGGAAATCAGAAGCCTGCTTTGAGGACTGCTTCATGTGAGCAGTCAGAGGAAGCCGCTGAACAGGATGCCTAGGGGTTTCCACACGGAGATTGCAACAAAGAGGGCAATAAAGAAACTTCGGGTTGTTGGATCTGCCTGGCTGAGTTTATAGGCACCACCAGCAAAATCCTGCTGGTCAACGAGCTAGGGGAGACTTAGTGGGAAGAAAGAGGGTATGAGGAGGAAATAAAAGAAAAGTAGCTGGAAAAGTGTGGCAGGGAGGGGCAGCGGAGATGGTTAAAAAAGAAATAGAAAACACACCAAGAAATCGAGAGCAGTGCTTCAACATCCATTTTGAGTGATGATAATATTACTAGTCTCTCAATCCAATTGCCACTTGTCGGGATCTTGCTATAAAGCAAATAGTAGAAGAGGAGGCATCAAAGGAATTATTACTCTGTTAGAGCAGGACATTATTTTAATAGTAATTCCCATCTATTTTTTCAGTTTGCAGACATAAAAAATGAAACCCTGACGTCACTGACCTGTCTAGTGATGGTACAGTCCAGTCATGCATTAGCAGAGCAAGGTCTAGAAGCCTAATCTCTGTAATGAAAACATCAGTGACACTTTCTCTGCGGTGATTACTTTGCAAAATACTAGCATGGGAGATGATTACTTTGCAAAAAAATTAGCACAGAGAACAAAGAGAATCTTCGTGTCCTGAGTGAGCCAAAGCAATTTTTTCCCAAAGCTGTTACCATTCTTTCCTTAATGCTTATATCAAATGCAACACAATAAATAAACACATAAAAGGGTTCCTTGAAAGGGCACTGCTTTCTCCCTTTGCATGTCCAGGGTGTGTGTGTGTGTGTGTGTGTGTGTATCTTAAAGCATTTATCTTTGTCTGGGTTTCTTCCAGTGTACTCTCAACCTGCATACATATACACAAAGGAATTACACCATGTGACTTACACATAAAGACCTCTATCTGCACGTATGCCCATAAACATAGACACCCAAAACACACACTGTCACACCAGGGAAGCATCTGTGCTAAATTATGGCTATTGTCTCTTTAGTGCTTTACACATAAAGGGCTCCTAAATATTTTGGAGATAGAAAACTTGTTCCAAGGTTATTCCAATACAGTAGGCCTCAGCTAGTACACTGTTTTTGATAGATAAAAATCCTATCCAATTTCAAGGCTTCAACCATCATCTCTACATGATGATGATGATGATAAGTGCTTATCACCTTCCAACATGGGAAGCGAGATACTCAGCAGACTCATAGAATGACGGATGTCCTAAACAGCACTCTGGACTCAGAATCAGCCCTAAAGGCATTCGGATCTGGCTGAAAAGCCCATGAGAGTATTTCAGGGATGGAAAGCCAAGACACTCTGGCAAAACAAACAAACAAACAAACAAACAAAAAAAAAAACTAAATGAAAGATCTCTGTGAGTGAGATCCCAGTGGAAAGAACAGGTCTTCAAAGAAGGAGGTACCTTTCTCTGAAGGGAGGACAGAACCTCTACTTTGACTATGACCTTGTCTAAACAAGATAAGAGTTGGAGAATTCAAGGGGCTTCCATAGCCTTGGAAACTCATGACTGGTGCATAGGGAGATTACTGATGCCATAAACAGGAGTGTCAATTTGTAAAGTCAACAACAGGAGTCACTGTGCACTTACTCCTCATGTAGGATCTCTGTCCTTAATGTGCTGTACATTGAGACTTAATGCTATAACGAGTACTCAAACAGTATATTTCGCTTTGTGTTTCTATAGGGGTGCAAACTGTTGAAATCTTTACTTAATGTATACTAAACTGATCTTCCGTTAAAAAAAAAAAAGAAATTATCAATAGGTCTGATCTGATTTCATCACCATTTAAAAATCATCTATTATTTTTCACTTTATGTTTCTGTGTGGGAGCAAACTGTTGAAATCTTTACTTAATGTATGCTAAACTGATCTTCTGTATATAAAGAGAATCGAAAATGAATCCTCATGTGAATGGAAGGGGAGAGGGAGTGGGAGAGGGGAGGGTTGCGGGTGGGAGGGACGTTATGTGGGGGAAGCCATTGTAATCCATAAGCCGTACTTTGGAAATTTATATTCATTAAATAAAAGTTAAAAAAAGTGCTTATCACCTACCCAGAAGTCATCCATAGCTTCATTCTTTTATTTGCACTATGTGGTCACATACTTACTTCTGAATATCATATTGGTATTTTTAAAAAAGATTGATTTTATTTATTTGAAAGACAGAGTTGCAGAGCAAGGTAGAGCCAGAGAGAGAGAGAGAGAGACAGAGACAGAGACAGAGACAGAGAGGTCTCCCATCCGTTGGTTCACTCCCCAAATGACCGCAATGGCCAGAGCTGAGCTGATCCAAAGCCAGGAGCCAGAAGCTTTTTCCAGGCGGGTACAGGGGCCCAAGCACTTGGGCCATCTTCTGCTTTCCCAGGCCATAGCAGAGAGCTGGATGGGAGTGGAGTAGCCAGGACTCGAACCAGCGCCCATATGGGATGCTGGTGCTGCAAGCCATGGCTTTAACCCGCTGCGCCACAGCGCAGACTCACACATCAGTATTTCAAGTTTAGTACTCCTACACTGAAAATAACCATCTTTGCTATTGTAGCTAGGAAAGATCGCTTATTTCATTCACATTCATTGATATCACCCAATCTTGCCAAGCTGAAATCCTTAGTGTTATTGTTAGTAGTGCCCACATCTTTATTCCTGTGTTCCAATGTGTGCTGAGTTTTGTCTGTCCAATTATTTCTTGTTTTTTTTTTTTCCCATATTTCCTCAGTTTTTATTGCCATTATTCAAGTTCAGTCTTTTTTTTGTAAACTTGAAATAAGGCGACTTACCTGTCTCTGTTCTAATTCCAGGATTTACATCTCAGCATAATGTCATTCTCCTAATCAGATCCCCAGTGGCTCCAGATTAGTTACAAATTAAAGTGTGAATTTCTTACTCTGGTAATCAAGTCCTCCACTTTTTAGAGGACTCCAGTTCTAATTCCAAATGCATCTATTATCACTTTCCCTCACACACTAGCATGCTAGCAAAACTACATTCCTATTTCTGATGGTTTCCCATCTTTTTAAACCTGACTCCAGTTACTTTCCTGTATTTTCTCCACTTCCAAATCCCATCTACACTTCTAATCCTTTCAATGTGCTTAATACTTTAGAGATCTCTCATCCATGGCACTCATCACTTCCTATATTGCATTACAGTAGTTTGATAAATAGTTTTCCTCCCTTACTTAAGTATATGTTCTTTCCCTCCTTAGGAATATATTTTCTGAAAATATATTTGTTTGAATATATTTGAAAGCACATTTTATAGTTCTTTATAATTCCTAAAATGCTTAGTTAAAATGCATTGTGTACAGATATTCAATAAATATATGTTGACTTAATCAGACTATATTTGATGATGATAAAGTTTTTTAACCTTTTATTATTTTAAAAACTAAACACAATTATGTGCCTTGGGAACTGTTTATAGTTATTTATTTCCTCTGGAGAATAATCAGTAATTGAATGAAGGGTGTTGGTTAACACTTTCAATAATTATTACTTTAAATAATATTCAATACACATGCAACCCATTCTTAGACTAGGGTTGGATCCTAATTACTGAGCCTAGTTGTACTTCTTGTTTTAATACATCAAAAAATTTAGCAGTCATCAAACAGATATTAGCAACCAAAACTGACTGTCAATGTAACATCTTCAGGACTGGAAATTGTGATATTCATTTTATGCTTAAAGACTATTTGTTATTTCCCAGGTGTGATGGGAGAATATGAGCCGAAAATTGAGGTCCATTTCCCTTTCACAGTTACAGCTGCTAAGGGAACAACTGTTAAGATGGAGTGCTTTGCACTTGGCAAGTAAGTACATATTCTTCTATAATTAGACACAATTGTTTATTAAGATGTGACAGGCCTTATTTTGTATCCTATCATCCAACTTTCATTTTCCTGGGAGCCCCGTGGTGGCAATATAGTTTTAAAGGAAGGGCAAATGGGAATTAAGGAAGTAACCAATTACAGTCATCTTTCTATTCGTGTTTTATAGACAGCAATGTATGTATTTTTACTATTTTAATGAGAACAAAACTTCTCTAAGACTTGTCTGAAGACTACAGTACCACCCTTTTATTTCATTCAGCAATAATATAAATAAAAGGATGAGGTCCTATCTGCTCCTCATGTACAGGATGCAAATTTTGAGTCATACTAAGACAACACATAAAAATCGTAAGGACAATAGTTATAGTGAATCAGTTGATTACTTCAGTGTCTTCTGAAAGAGTAACAGCAGCATTAGCCGTCAGCATGTGCAATATGTAATCATTTCCCAATTCAGAGATGATTTATATCACATCCTGATGTCTGTGTTTAATAATTCTACTTCCGGTGGTTTAAATCTCTTGATATATAGTTGCTTGTCAATGATGTGTACAGTGTGGGTATTGGGATCAGAAGCAGGAGTGGGATTTTGATTATATTTGATTAGAGTATCATGATTTATTTTAAACAGTGTTGTTTTACTTTCTAGGATGATAAAGACCTCAGGGTCTTTTCTAGACTCTATAATTATAATTTGCATAAATGCATCTCTATCTGAGTTACTAATAATTTAATTCCGTTGCAGGGATCTAACTCCCACAGCATAACTACAAAGTACTTAGAGATAAAATGTGCTACAAAAATGAGCTTACAATAGTAGATTTAGGCTATGGGTGAGTAAAATATTAGTAAACATGAAAAGCCCAGCTAGTAATAGAAGTTTAAGAATGAACATAGTAAATACCATGCACTTTAATTTCAAGACTGAATGAAACAACATTTATATGCAATTCTACTCAAAAATAAGTAGAAATAAGGTTATATGGATGTAAAGTCAAATAAATATTATGTGGCCTATCTTGATATCCATAAGTAGAAACACATTTCAGAAATTTAAAATGCATCTAGGAGGAATTTGGGGGTTATCTGAGGATACCTTCCCAACTCATCATAAGATGCAGTAATATTCTCAAAGGCATGTTTTTCTCCATTTACCCATGTCATGCTTGAAAATGGCTCATGGAAGAAGTTCAATTCTGATAAATGCAAAAATAATATATTCTGACTTCTTGCCATAGGTTTTAGTATGTCCTGCAGTTAAATAATTCCTAAATGCCAGAATTTGTACTAAAGCCATAATTAAAGAAAGGTCTTATTGTAAAACAAATTAGAAAACTAGATTTGTAGAGAAAACAAACAATATAGAATATTCCCCCAGGCAGACTTATTTAATAAGTTAGATGTGGTTGCTTTTGGAAGCCCTGAAATATGCTTAGTAAATTGATGTTTAAAGACCTTTCCAGTCCAGGAAGGATGCAACAGCCAAATCATTTATGTTCTTTCAAGACTTTATTTTCTTCTCTTCTCTACTCCTTTAATAAATATATGGAAAGTATGATAAGACCCCTCGGGCAAGGGGTCTCTTGTTCATTGGCTGTCCTTGCTATGAAATGTCAGTTATGGAAAGAAGAAATATGCCATGAAGAGATCAATCTCTACCTAAAGGCCACCTGCCACCCTGGTAAAAGGAAAGAAAATCAAAGAAAACATGTGAATTTGTGTTTCTCATGTGGAAAACATCACCTCTGATTTCCAGCATGATCACAGCAAATTTTTAAAATATTTTATTTATTGATTTGAGAGGTAGAGCCACAGACAGTGGGAGGGAGAGACACAGAAAGGTCTTCTGTCCATTGGTTCACTCCCCAAATGGCTTCAATAGCCGGAGCTGCGCCGATCCAAAGCCAGAAGCCAGGTGCTTCCTCCCAGTCTCCCATGCTGATGCAGGGTCCCAAGCATTTGGGACATCTTCTACTGCCTTCCCGGGCCATAGCAGAGAGCTAGACTGGAAGAGGAGCAGCCGGGACTAGAACTGATACCTACATGGGATGTTGGTGCCACAGATGGAGGATTAACCTACTGTGCTATGGCACCAGCTCCATGATCACAGCAATTTCAAATGAATACTTGAGCATCTGAATGGTGCCTCCAGCTGGTTCCCTGGTGCTCTGGTTGGCCTTTGTTCCAGTAACTTCAGTGTCTGTCACTAGACATTGGTCAGGATCTTAACTGCACGCTTATTCTACCCTTCAGTTTATCCTCATAGAGTGCTTTTCCCACATGTTCCTCACACAGTGTTAGAACCTAATTTTGGAAAGGACAATGCCATGCCCATGTTTCTTGGCCTGCAGGCTTACTGGGCACATACTTCCCCCACTCTCTCATTGGTGGCTCCCACTTATCCTCTGGCCTCAGCTTTAATAGCATCCCCCAGAGAGGACATCTATGATCACTTTATCCAACTGATACCTCTTAAAAACTATTTAAATCCTTGCATTTGTTCTTCCTAATCCTTAACACCATTTTAAATTATTCTCATGTATATCCCTCTTGTCTGTATCGGTCAGAGATCCAGCTGGAAGGGCTCAGTTCAGATCACTCAAGAAGAGTTCAGTAAAGGAAAATGCTGAAGATTCGCAGCAGAGTTAAAAAGACCAACATGAGGCATTTGTACTTTAGTGCCTGCAAGAAGTTTTCCTATCATCTTTAAGCCTGGAGAAGGAAGGGACTGGACATAGTACTGTTGGAAGTAGAGAGAGCTGGGGTGTGGAGAGGACCGTTGAAGCGAGCTGTGTTCACTGCATGAAAAAGATGCAGTTGTTCTAAGGAGAGAGCTGAAGAAACAGGAGGAGAGTCATATCCTGTTTGGTTCTCATGTCCTCAGCTCTGCACTGGTGGCTTTCAGAAGCCAACAGGGGCCAGTTTGTAAGCCAGAGTATGCTGTGGCTAGTATATAAAGAAAGGCAGCCAGTCTGGGGTTAGGAGGAGGGTGCTAGGTGATGGAAACAGGTGGAACAATCAGCACAGTCCCTGCATTAGGCGTTAAGCCCCAGGAGAGCAGGGATCATAACTGTGTTCTTCACCTCTCACATCGTCTGCACTCAGAAAATGTTTGTTGAAGGCATAAGTGAATTCAGAAATGTGTCTAGCTAATTCAACTTTGTATTATTAGCAGAAATTAAATAATTAAATCTTTTATGCTTTATCCAGTTCTCCTCCAAAATAAAAATCCATCTGTATCCCTTTCCACATCTCTTGCCCATATCCTCATATCCTGCCATTTATACACAACTTTGTACTTGGATTCATGGACCATCTTCTCCTGCCTACTTGTGCCTCCCTCCATCAGCTATCTTTTTATATACCTGGAATTTCTACCTCTCCTTTTGTTGTGGTAAGAACACTTATCATGAAACCTATTCTGTTAATAAAATTTTGGTATATAATATAGTTCACTACATGCACTACACTGTGAAACAGGTCTCTATTAATCATGCATCTTGAATAACTTACTGTATGTTGTTCTCAAATTTTATTGTCATGTTGAAATCATTCTTACTGTTTCATACAACGATCCCAGAAACCTCTATTAATCTGTCCCATAGAAGGAGTTCATGTGTTTACTTGAGGGTAAAAAGGGAGAGATTTATCATACTTAAAAACTAGAATGAAGGACAGAGTTAAAAAATATGGATTATAGAATAAAATTTGATATGATAATGGCTTGAGAGACAACTAAGGAGAAGATAATGGCTCACAAAATCTAGCTGGTTCCATTTCTGCTTCCTTCATGCCTTACCAGGGCAATCCAGGTTTCCTACAGAAAATCACCATTTTTATCATGTTATTCATTGAACCAAACACCTTCCAGACATACCCCCTCTCTCAAAGAAAAAGGATTCGTTCGTTAGTGCAGAGGTGCCAAAAGCAAGGGGCAGGCTTAGCATTGTTCAGCTCACGAGAGTTACCTTGAAAGACCCGAGAGCCAAGTATAGGCCTGAAGGTTTTAAGAGCCGATTGTATAATGGGCACTGCCCTGGCCCCAAGATTCCATAGTCCCTGTAGTCACGCAGACACCTCCATACTATCTTCACACATTTATCAAGCTCTAGGATCACAACTCTTTCATCCCAGTCTTAGTTACTGGTTACTGCACAAACATCAACTACTCATCCTCATCAAGTTGGCCCCATAGTCAACCTTTATCCAGAGCGAGGCCCTGCCCATCTTCTTGGATCAAACCTGAAACTGAGGCCAAACAGCAGAAACAGCAGGTTTTCTTCCCTTTTGGACTTTCTCCGACCCATTGCAAGACCTTACTTAACTAGCTAATTTATTTGATTGTTAAGAATCATACTTTGAAAACATATCAGAAAACTCTTCAGTTGGCCACACACTAAAGTTTTATTCTTCTGGAGAAGTGCACTTATCTCTTCATAATTTGTCTCTAAGGATATTCAGTTCCTTAAACTTAGAGGATGCAAATATGAGGCTCTGGCACACAGATAATTTTTTAAAAGATTTTATTTATTTATTGATCGAGCGGTAGAGTTATAGACAGTAAGAGGGAGAAATAGAGAAAAAGGTCTTCCTTCCGTTGGTTCACTCCTCAGTTGGCTGCAACAGTCAGAGCTTTGCCAATCCGCAGCCAGGAGGCAGGAGCTTCTTGTGGATCTCCCACATGGGTGCAGGGCCCAAGGACTTGGGCCATCTTTTACTTCTTCCCCAGGCCACAGCAGAGAGCTGGATTGGAAGAGGAGCAGCTGGGACTCGAACCAGCGCCCATATGGGATGCTGGTGCCACAGGTGGAGGATTAAGCTACACCACGGTGCTGGCCCCAACAGAAAATTTTAAAATATATAATCTTTTTGTTTTCCAGTATTCTTGAAGGGAAATAGAAAATAAAGGATATTAGGTTATCACATTTTACTATCTCCTGATATTACACAAGTTCACTAACCTGATTAATTTAAAGCTA